ATGTAAGTCGTCTGATGATACTTTTAAATGATACAAATATTTTATTTATTCACAGAAATTTTACTGATAAGGAATTTTTTAAATGGCAATAATGAACCAAATAACTTTAGACTATCATTAAAAAGCTAGAAGTGCTGGACAGTCATTTCGTCACAGTATGTAACTCCTCAAAAGTGCGCATTCACAACCTAACAAACAGTATTCAAACACAAAACCGACGTTTTCGCGCGTGAACATTTAAGCCATAGACTACTGAGCCAGCATGCAACAGTGGTAATGTCTAACTTTAATAAATCTATGACATTGTGAAATCATCTTTGATTGTTTTCGGTGGGTAACTGTTCTAAAACCGACACGGTATAGCTCCACTAGTCACGGCCACTTACTAGAACACCTGGAATTCTATCTGAAAACTAGTCACTAGTGAGCAAGTGACAACTGTTAGTAAGGGGTTGTGGAGATTGTCAAAGTTCTGTCCAGTTCCCGCCTTCGGGGTCGCGGACGAGCACTGATGAAGAGTTCCATGCTGGGACGAAATGATCGTCTAGTTCTTACAGCTTTTCAATGGTGGTCTTACATTGATCGGTTCATGATGTCTGTGAAATCCAACAATCTTTACAATTAAGTACTAACGGTTTAATTATTATCCAAGATTAACTTTACATTTCATTGAAAGTATTTGGAAATATCAAACATAAGTTCATTTGCTCGTTTATACTGCTCGTGATCTCAGCAGCCTTGTGTCTAAAGTTCCATACCTAATGTGTTCGGCTATAGGTATAATTGAAAATTTTAAGCATTGTAAACTTCACTAAACAAACTTGAAAAGTTAGTTATTCTGCGCTTGTCAAACGGTCTTCAATATTCTGAAACTTCCAAGGTTCAACTACTATAGAACCTACCACCGAGTATCAACTATAAAGGGAATTAAGAATTTCTGGTTTACATCTATCAAAGAATCTGAATATATTAAGTGTAAATGAAATAATGTATTTGTAACAATCTACCCAATGCTCAATTTATTCGAAATGATTAAGTCAAACCCCGGTAGTGATACCTATAAATATATTAAAGTTTGTATTTCATCTACTCAATGACCAAATTCTCTCAAACCATTAAGTATTAACTTGGTTTAAATATCTGTCTAGTTACTTGTTCTTTTCTTAAAAGTCTATTCCAGAAACAGTAGAAGTAGTCAGTACGAAGAGTTAAAATCTGTGTTTCCTCCTTGGTAGGTAGCTCATTGATCTAAACATTGTGTTTTGAGCCGTTAAACAACAATCCCGAACATTGAAACTTCAGGTAGTATCTATAGTTTCTACACACAAAACACTCTTAGCATCCAAAATAAAAGTGTATGCGGTGTTTTCATTGACATTTATTGTATTAGATTACGAAATTATCGTAATTGTGTTAAATCGAAATTTATTGCACAACATACTGGAAGCTTTCATCATGGTACGCTTATGAATCTATGCAGAAGCAAATAACAGATGTAATTTCTATAAAACACTAAACTGAACTGCTTTTCAAATTATTTATAATCATCCTGCAAAAAAAAAAACATTTGACATTTTAATCGTCACAGTAACCGCTTTTGAAAGGCATTCGTAAAGCACTAGTATACCATATAACATCCGGAATAAATTCTTTAATATTGTGATGTCACTGTGACTAAAAGTTTTAACCATTTGTCTATGGCAACATGTAGATCTTAGTTTCCCACTAGATCGACTCAAAACATACATATTTATTGATGTTTGATAAACATATGAGACTATATGAAAATGGAAAGAAAATATATTGAACTTAAAGTAGATAGGGCTAAAAAATTCTTGAGTAAACAAATTTCGAAATCTCTTAGAAACACTTTTTATCCAGCTGGGTTTCATATTGTCTTCTCAAGTAAGCCTACTATCATGAATACTTAAAGAATGAACTCCTGATTTGGACCACAATTATGTGCACCTTGCGAGGCAGGCTACACTGGCTACCCAAAGCTAACATTTTCTAAACACATTTCAGAACATTGTCAGGTGTGACTTTTAAGTGAGGAATGTACGATCAATCAATAGCTCAATACAGAAGCATCATATCAACTCTAGACTCCAAAAGAGTCTTCCGTCAAAATAATCTACATGGTAAAAAGAATGTGATCAAAGGGATGTCAAACCAAAATTTGATGTACTGCTGATGCATTGATAACTCACCATTTTAAACCTGAACTCTGTGTTTCATAGCAATACGCTCAACCTTTCTTCCTTTCGTGGCCCTAATCCCTTTTTTTCAGTATGCTTCGGTTATCATTATTTTTATTACTTTTTTCAAAACCATAATCAATTAATATCACACCCAAACAATTTTTCATGATTATTGATTCATTGTTATATGACCTTTACGTTCTCAATTTTTTTTCGCATCTGTTCAGTTAACAACTATCTTTCATATTTCTGACCCATAAATTATTCTCATGCCCCCTACCGTTTCTAACCTCTAAATCATTAGGCAGTCTTCTTTTGATATTTGAAATCTCGAACCCCTTTTAGGTGTTATTTCTTATATATTTATAAATATTTGTCAAACAACAATAAATACGAATATACCACGGCTTAAGTAAATAATTTCATCGAAAAAAATTTCTTCTCTGAATTCATTCACTGACACATTGGCTTACTTTAACTATCATACAATACATCCTGGTAACGGAGACAAGAGTAATAAGATAATGAAACATAAACCGAAGGAATTTTGTATATTTTCACTACAAATTTTCAGTAGAAATAATTAAACAAGTCGGATGATATTTACTTAACAAAAATTGATTTCTAAAGATAAAATGTGACTGAATACCTGACCTTTAAGGTTGCAATTCCAATCTTATATATAAAGTTTTAATGGCTTAATTTTTTGAAAAAAATGTGAATAGTGAATGATCTTATTTTTCTAAAAGGTTACCAGATGATCAATCAATTGACTTGGAAGAGAGATAGAAAGTAATTTTCGTTAGAGTAAATATTTTACAGAGACTGAATCGCATGCAACTAGCACTTATTCATTTTAAAAGGTAGGGGAAAATCTAACAATCAATTTTCAATACACCTCTATAAACCACTATGTCAACACAATATTCAAGTAAGTGATATGGTGGTCGATCTTACATATCGGGACTGCCAACTCGAGTCTTTGGACTGATATGTTTGTTTAATGGAATCTTAAGGTAACAGAAAGGTTAGTTTGAGAACAGTGATACTAAAAGCATTAACTAAAGGTCATTGGGGGAAATTCAAATTATGACTGAACAGAGGTGTAACGCCAGTAAGAAGCTTATGACAGACAACCAGAATATACAACGATTATGCGTTTCCACTAAAGAAGGATGGCTTAAAATTGGCCGGTCATAAAAATATTACACTTCCAATTATGCCGTGAATTTCATCTCCCATGGTAGGGCCTTTAAAGTATGCATCTAATACATCAGGGACTTTTCTGAAAAACGCCATATGTAACTAGTCTCAAACAGTTATCCTTAGAGTCCTGAAACCAAGCTCCATAGGTCCTCAATAACACCCTAACCCAGTTTATTTTTCTGGTAGCTCAAAACAAAACATCGTTCAACCGTATGGGAAGCCGGGAAGTAACAACCACTTTCATATCACTAACAGTGCCTGAAAGTGAGTGGGATTATATATGAAATCTGATGGAGTCAACAATACTCTCTATACATAAGCAACAGAAAATCGTCATCGACTTCCTATTGCACATAGAGTGCGTTTTAAAGTTATTATACTAGATATATAAAGTTATATAAGTTATTTTGCCTAAGTCTTGCCAGTATAACATAGATCCATGGTAGTAGTGCTAAACGTTTGTCTCGTACATGTTTCTACATGATTTAGTATATGAAATGAAGTTATAATGTACTGGTTAAGGAGATAAAAGATACCGTTCTGCTGCGTTTTAGTTAACGTGACTGAACAAGTTATGGTCTAGAAACCTCTGATAGTAGTAGGTGAAAATAATGAAAGTGATATAAAGTTAGCTCACATAAATGTAAATATGCTTTATTATTAATTTGAAAATTTCCAATATTCAGTAGGCTGTCTATATATTTTCAACAGGCCAGAAGTCGATTTATTTGTAATACTTTATGATTCATGCAATCGTTGTTGTAAGCTGTTATTGTTAATGGATATAGTTACAGTATTAATTCTATTATTCCAAACAGAATTACTTATAAGCAAGAATAAGCTATTGTCTGAGTGGTTTTCCAGTATTCACACTTAATAGTAATTGTTTTTATATATTGTTAGGAATGACATAAACAACACTTATCTAAATACTTAATGCTTCAATATGATTCTTTTTCTATTACATTTTAATTATGGTAGTGATCTTCTATAGAATGTGTATGATGGCTAATAAATATAATTAAATATAATTTCTATTTATGCTCATTGAATAATGTGTTGACTCAATGAAGTATTTACTCAGTTATTTTTAAACAACATAGTTCGTTATCGTTGCTTTGGATATCAAAACTTAACCAAACAATCTAGGACTAAGTCATTTGTAGATTTAACTAATTACATCAAGATGAAACTTCTCCTTATCAGACTATTGGTTACATTACAAAGCTGATCGACAGATTTTAACAATTGTGGTGAATGAAAAGAAGTGCATTTAACTAACTAAAAACGAGCACGTTAAATTACAATAACCTCCAAACACGTTATACGATTAACGCACTTTCTAAAAACTTTAAATAAGCTCTTTAGATTCATAATTAATACTTTATACTGGTATAAAATTCCTGAACAATCCTTATTTCGTCTATTGCTTATGGTATATCTGTGTTTGTTCTTATGAATTACCTCTTACCTAAGTGTTTGTATATTACTCAAACACGGAAACAATATATTATTGATCTGTTAAAATAAAATTTGTTTATTATTTTTATATGATTGCATTTCACTAATTTTTATTTTCTATTCTGATTACAGAATACATTAATTCTGTGTGTTCAACAAGACAGTTAGAACAAGAGTTGATCAACATTATGTCCCATGTAACAAATACTCTGTGTCTGTTTATCGATGGATTAACACTTATATACCTTCTAGATTTAGCAACATTTTATATATTTAGTAAAACATTGATTACGTCGATTCGATTGGTTTTAAGTTTGCCAACATGTCATATTTTCAGTTATTTATTTAAAAAATGGCTAATATTTCGCTGTCTTTTATTCTGCTGGAGAAGATATAGTGTGTATAGACGGTTAAATAAGAAAAAAGATGATTTGACGGATAAACATGGCCGATTGCATATCAAATTTCAAGGTTTACATAATATGGATAGCCAATCCAAACAGTTATCACTCAACAACAATAATGAACTGACATCAATGAGCTTGAGTCAACTGCGTGAGAAGCTACATAATAGAAATATTACGTCAGTCGATCTTTTAGACGCTTATCAGATTCGTGGTTTAGAACTACTTCGTACGAGATCCAACTGTATCAGTGAAATTATTTATGAAGCTGACGTCTACGCTATATTAGCTGATAGCTCACGGGATTCAGAAGGTGAACATGTTAGTTTAATTCATGGGATACCTATAGCATTGGAAGAAATATTTCCTATTCATGGTTACGATCATACAATGGGATATACAATACGCACCAATCGTGGTGCAGAAGATGACTGTATTTTAGTAAAAGCACTGCGTGATTGTGGTGCAATTCCAGTGATATTGACAAATGTGAAGCAAAAGATTCTTGGTTTATCAGCGAACAATCCAATAACTGGATTAACAAGTCATCCTACACATCCTGGACGAGCGTGCGTCAGTGGTATGGGGCCTTTGTTAGTTCATAAGGGTTCTCCGTTAGCTGTTGGTTTCGATATATTGGGTGAAGCACGTCTTTCAGCTGCATTTTGCGGAAAAGCAGCACTCAAACCAACTCCATATAGGATGAGCAACAAAGATTTGAAATTGCCAATTGAACTACCTGAAAACTTGCTACCAGTTCCATCTCCTATGGGCCATAGAATTGAAGATATTGTTGACGTTTTAAAAAGCCTTTGGACCTCAAATATGTTCGCACACGATTGTACCTTATGTCCGATGGCATTCAACGACAAAGAATATAAATCTATTGCAGAAGGAAATAGGAAATTGAAGATTGGTTTCTATTCAAATTTTGATGGTCTAGTCAGAGCTTCACCATCAGTACAACGAGTCATGTCAGAAATTCGTGATGAGCTTTCTAGACAAGGTCATGAAGTGGTCGACTTTGCCTTACCAACACCGAGTAAAGCATACCAGCTAACTATAAGTTTATTGGCTAGTTATATGGAACCAGAATCTCTGAAGTTACTATATATTCACGGAAACGGAGACATTTTGGTAGATTATAGGCAGCGTCTTTTGCATTTGTTCTATGCGCTACCCCGTTTTCTTAGACACAAAATAGCTGAATGGCGTGCAGAAGGTATTGAAAAAGACTATCCAGCTACAGCAGTTGTTCTACGAGGTTTAGGCTACAGTCAAAGTCGTAAAACATTGATCAATCAAATTAATGATTATAAGCAAGAATTTTTCTCACTGTGGAATGAAATGGAACTAGATGTGTTAGTGTGCCCAACTGCACCAATACCTGCCCCATGGGATGATAGTCCGTCGTATGTAACTAATTGTGTATTACCATTTACATGTTTATATAATTTACTCGGTTGCCCAGCTGGTACTTTATCCGTGGGACGTGTTGAAAAGTGTGATTTGCAAGCATGTTGTGACATCTCTGATAACAATTTCAAAAGTTCCCAGCTTGACATCATGTTCTCTGAACAGCATAAACGTTCCGAAGGTTTGCCTATCGGTGTACAAGTTGTTGCAAAACCATGGAATGATGAGTTAGTACTTGGGCTACTCGTCAGACTACAATCCATTATTACGGTATAACTGTTATCTCTTGTCTCTTTATGGCCGATCAAGCGACTTAACTGTTGTTGAATTAAGTTTGTACAAATACTTGTATAATTTGTTTTGATTCCGTCCACGGTGAAAGGTTTTTCTTTTTTTCAAAATATTTGGCTAAACAAAGTAGTGTCAGATTGTAGTTTTATTTGTGAATTATCTATAGCTTTGTTATTCGTTATACTCTTGTTTATATTCAGGAATAAATTTCAGGTTTTTTCTAAAAAAAAATCTAAATGCATGTAAATGATACTTTTTATATCTTTTTTATTTAGTGCATCAAATACTTATTTTGTAGACCGTGTTTTTGAGGTCACGTCCAATGTTTCAATAGTTTCATGTATATATTTGTTTAAACAATATATAATTTGCTTGTGTGTATACTATATATTTGCTAATTAATTAATAGTTTTATATTGTGATACTTAAGCAGTATTACAATGTTTTTAAGCAAAGATGGATAGTGGCTAAGAGGGGAATCCAGGACGCTAGCCACTATCCATCTTTGTTTAAAAAGCTTATGACTTAAGGCTATATCGAGATAACCCGCACAAGATGCACATATGGCAACATGAGATTGATCAGTCATAGTCCTAAATAACAATGGGAAGTTACAAGTAAAACAACACCAAGTGAATGCATTACAATGTCCCATTAAATATTAATTAATATTCCTAGTTTAAATCTATTATACTATGATATACGATAAAGATTCTCAGCTATTATCTTTGTGTAGTAAAGAACAAGATTCATGAAAAAAGTGATTTCTTTTGATAACTTCACGTTGTTATGTTTGAATTAAGCGATTATGAACAATGAGAAGGTTGTAAAAGTTTAATGTCTCACAAAATTGAGCTGAGGTAGAAAATGGAGTTCGCCGAGTTTAGAACAAGTGGTTCAAAGGTTAAGTCAGAAGTTACAATTCAATTAGGAAATAAATAAATACTATTGAGGGGTACTAGCAGTTTTTCATGTAGTTTTTCACTGAATGGGATATTAGAAATGTATTGGTATTTCTATTAATACAAATAGTCTACCCAATTTCTAATTAATGTGAAATTTAGTCAAATCATAGTTATAATACTTACCCTCTAAGGTTACTTCTAATTATTTTCCTGAATTGGTCATTTAAATTTGAAGTTATATGTTATTTGGTGTTATTGATGGCTCTAACCAGAGTAAAACCAAAATAATTAGGTGAAAATATTTATCTATCCAACAAAAGTGATCACACCATAGATATGTTTGTCGAAAATCAACTTTGACTCAATTTCACTTTACTCTGACCTCAGACGCTTATTTTGTCAGATGAACCATTTCACTCATATCCTCTGGTTCCAGTTCATCTCATCTGACAAGTTCATCATATTGTGGTCCTACTTTTTGTTTTTATTGAATCTTTTTCCATAATGATGTAAACTACAAACAAGGCTGCTTTCTGACCAAATATATCACTTAACATTTTCCATTATGAACTGACTAACTCGATAGATAAAGATGTTTGTCAACCATGGTAATGTAAATACTACTTCTTATTGAACAATTCAGTATATCTTTTATACTTAACGAAACATGTGAATTCCTTTATCATGGAAAAACAGAAATACATTCGATTTAAAATCATATTATTTATTAAGTTATTTAATTAACCGTAATCATTCTTTATCTCTCTATATTCATTATAATCGGAGAATAAAAACTAAATTGTGTGTAAAACCGAACTATATTACTAGTTTAATTTCTAAAGTAGGAAATTACTTTTTATGGTAAAACACATGGATACAACACAGTCAACTACATGTGACTTATTTTAATTCACTTCAGCATTTTATTTTTCCTTCCTCGAAACCATAATAAAATGGATTTTAACATTTTAAAATATAATCTCAGTTTCTTATTTTAATAAAACTGAATTAAAAAGTGTTCAGGGTTATATTCCTATTTGATTTTTATCTCCTTTCACAGTTATTATTTTTGATAGTTACATGTAGAAGAGCTATATAACTATTTTAGGTAATGAAAAAGTAGGATAATTACAAGCCTGTAACGGAATCAGTACTTGATGCTTCTTGGTATTTTAGAATAGAGTTTTTACTGACTGAACTCTGAATAAGCTCCTACTAGAAGTACCGTTTCAAACATTTAGAAGTAATTAACAGGGAATTTCAGAATTAGATCTTTTGTAAGGCCAGTCTGAAATAATTGGGAATTTTCGATGATTCTTAGATCAAAAACTATCATTCAGTTGATGGTTCATCTCAGCCTAATAAAAGTTATCGAACTTCCTGTCTATTGCATAATGCCACGGACTTCATTAATTTAAATTCACTGATAGGTGCTTTTATTATTAACAAAAGATTTACGAAAAATTCTTTATTCAGAAATAAGTAAGATGTTGTTTTGGTTAGAAATTCAGTAACCTCAAGAAAACCATAATATTCATAGATTCTATGGGATAAATGTGATTCGAAAATAACCTGCAATAATTTGATTAAAAATACTTCTGACTTTCTTAAATAACATGATTAGGCTGTTCAATAATAATTAAATTCATGGTTGTCAGTAATGAAGCCAGTAGTTCATTTCAAACTAGTTAGTTAGCTGATGGTTTTCTCCTTAAATGAAAACTGAAACGGATAACTGCGAAAATTTAAAAAGCCTAGGGATTCGTACTTGTTTATTTTGTAAGTAGTTTGAATTTTGCGAAATAGATCATTTCAAATATCTACAGTGTGAACTTCAGATCCTATTAGCTAACACGTAACCGTTTATTTATTAAACAAAGCAACTTCTTGTAGTGATTTTCCAACCGTAATCGGGTTTTGAAATGAAGAGATCATTTTGTGTGAAATAAAAATAAACGTTTATATAAATAAACATAAAAATGAGTTAAAACTATGAGCATGTTTTCGCAAGACATAAACTATGATGTGTGTCAATCAGAAGCAAAAGACATGTGATGGAATATGAAAAAAAAGGTAGCTTTCTCAATAACAAGACAACCTGAAACGATACTTCATAACTAGAACTATAATAAATTCCAGTGAATCATTTCGTAATCTTACTCAATTAACCTTGAATTTGGATGCTGTCTAAAATAGTTTAAGCGCTACTGAAGATTAATTTTGCTTTAGTTTTCTCTTATAGATTCTCATTTACAAACTACAGAAATGAAAATTATTGTATAACTTATGAACGTGAAAGAAACAAAAAATACGGAGTGATTGATTATTTTTTATATTCTTGTTTTGATCGATAATTAGTGCATGACAAACATTTAATGATAGTGAAAATCTTGACTGAAGAAGAATCTCTAATAATTATATACAAATAACTAATAAAAATCAAAGTTGAGTGATAGAATAATAAAATGCACAGGTAATGATAGAGATTAATAGAAAGTTTGGTATTTAGTATTAATTTACTAAATGTCTTGGAAATATTTAACTAAGTCCTGAAAATTCAATTAGCAATAGATAATTCATATAGATATTATAAAACGAAGCCTCTTAGAACAACAAAGTTCAACAGGAAGATGATTTCCATCACAAATTGACTTGAGTTAGAGAATCACTGAAAATCAAGAAGCATGATAAAACAATGTTAATGAAAATGATCTTTAAATCATACAAAATATCTATCAAAAGCCTATAGCAATTGATATTCCGAATGGATTTTATGGAACATTCATACATATATAATATTCTATAAATGATATATTCTGGGACTAGTAAATAGGTGGATAACGCGCAGGTACTTGAAGAAAAAGGTAATAGGTTCCAGTTTCAGAATGTACATGGATATTGAAATATGACTAAATTCATCTGAGAAGTTTCATATAGAACGAGAGAGATGTCCTTATTCCACTCATAATCACATCCCAAGATATGCTATAATAAAGTATTCCTCTTAGGATGAACATGTAGCAATTAAAATTGACTGACTCCAATCATCAATATCGACAACATGAAAATACAAACCCTCATAATTGTTTAAATTTTACATTGTAAGTCTACTTATTTTAATTTCAGTTTGGAAAGAAGTAGTGATTGATTTGGACCTATGAGTACCACGAAAAAATAAGATGAATAAACACGTTTTTAAGTGTCTAGTTGTTATGAACAGGAACACACAGGTGATGTAATGAACAAGAACACGGGTGGGGACAATGGAATGTATTAATCACAATGCTCACAGACTATATCAATAGAATCTGAATACCATAAAGTCAATCGTCAATTTGCAAAATATTAATGCATCATATCAAACTGAACTGTTTCCGTTGAAAACACTAATCCATTGTCTCCCATTCCATTGTACATGCGTTTTCTTACAAATTCCATTGTGCTCTTGCTCTTCCTTTCTTGATCTCCACCTCATCTTCTGCTGCCAGATATTACGTTTTAACTCGCGACATATACTACTTATATCAATATAAGTAGCACACCACAGAGATAACCGAATGTATCGTAGTACAAAATTACAGTTGTTTGGTGAAATGTGAAAACCATACGTTCAATCCTTTATTTGCAAATTTTCCGTAAACTGTCTCAAACTTCATCGTTCATTTATTATCACAATAATCACTCGATGTTTCCGTTCTCTTCGATTTGATCTTTCCAGCTTTCTGCTGTGAGGCATTCAACTTCTGGCTGGTGTTATATATTACTTATGTAGACACATAGTGACTATTTGGATTATAGTGATATACGAACAAAAATCACCCTAAAACTCAGTAGATATTTTCGATTCACTAATCAATAATTGAAACCTAATTAAATTTAAAGTCAGCAATTTAGTTTAAACAATGTGAAGATATTTCTTTAAAAAAATCCATCAAAAATTAATTTAGAAATATTGTATTTGACTTTTTCTATGTAGTAGATTTTATTTATGTTGAACTTTAAAAGTGTCAACATTCTATAGTTGATTATTCTTCAATTAAAATAGCCTTGTGGTGAAACTTTTAATAGACAAAATGTTTACAAAACGTCAATAACTGTAAAGCTATTTAATCTACATAAATAATTTTAATTAAGGCCTTGATGAACTCTTTATTCTGATCTTGAATATAATGTTTTTGTGACTAGGTGATATGTAACATTGTTTTGATGTAAGCATTTAAGTCTTTTGATATATTTCAACTTCATTTATCACTGATATAGTGAATTTCTTTCAGGGTGTTTGGTCTACAGTTTTGATGTATATCAGTATATTTTTCATGTTACATTGATTTATTGATCACACTGGTGATACCTCTTCAATAAGGACTGATTATTAGATTCATGAAGTATTTATTGTTTTAGTAATATGTTTTAAAGAAAGGTGTCCCTTTTTGTTGAAAATATATCATATTTTTAAAATGAAAATCATACTATTTTGATACGTACTGGGAAATACTGCATCTGACAAAATGAAGATTTTGTGCAGTATTCTTTGATTTGAAACGTCCCAAAAACTGGTTTTGTGATATATCTTTTAAACAATCAATTTTATTTTCTGTTAGCATTAAGTTCTATCATCTAATTTGTTATTCATCATCAAACGCGAAATTTCGATAGATGAATGTTGAGGATGAACATAATTTTGATTCCTGATTATATTAGGTCAAATTCGGATAGAAAGTAACCTCCATCAATGTAATTACTTAATCTTTCTCCAGCAGCTGCACCAATTTTTAATAAATGATAATTTATAGACGTTTTTAAACTAGGTATAGATAATGGCTAGCACTTGATACTAGGACACGCGTTCCACCCTATTTTGAACTCGTCAGCTGGATGTACTTGCATCATAGAGTCGATGTTCACCGTGAGACATGAACCCAATACCGTTTTCTTTAAACATCGGGCGTTATCCACTTAGCTAATGAGTTCAAATAACCACTAGTTTTGCGATGGGTTGATTTTTTATTCGTAGTAGTCATTTGAACTCATTGGCCAAGTGGATCACGCAATAGCTGATGAGTCCCATATAAGATTAAACGCGCGTCGTGGATTCCACTGCTAACCAACATCCATCTCTGATTAAAGGACATATAACTCAAGGTAACATCGAGGCATTTCGTATAGGACGCAAATGTAGCAATAACTGACTGATCATTTTCCGTTCTAAACAACAACGGGAATATTCAAGTAAACACATAATTTATATAATTTCATAAGTGGGAACTATTTGAAAATGTTTGCTATGATGGTGAGTGACCATCAGACAATATGAGAGATTAATTAAGGTGAAAATCTCTAGGAATCTGAATTCAAAGTATTGCTTATCTAAAGGCCATAGTGTCAAAAAATTATAATTCTTTAGCTGATAAACTGTCTCATATGAAGATAAAATATCTTCCTAGTGTATCTGAATTCTTTTTTCAATTAATAATAAATGATCTATCATGACAAAATTTTTTCAGACTTATTTTTAACTCATTTTTAACCGTAAATTTAATGTTTTTTTGTGAAAAAAACCTGAAAAGATATCAAAACTCACACTATGGATTGTAACTGATTGATATTTAGTAGACTTCATAAACACTTAGATTGTTTTCTCCCCCGAACAATTCATAAGATTTTTATACTGTTTTTGTTTAATGTAGTCACATAACATAGAGTTAAATATTTTTGATAACATCAAGTTTTACAAGTTAGATGGTTTAATTACAAAGTTTTCATCGTCATTGTCCATAACATCATCAACGCTTACTTTAAGTAGGAGATTCATAGGTCGATAAAGTTCTGTTTGCGTTTTAGCTTATTACAGCATAAAAAGTAAATTCGAAAGTTTAATAGCAAAAATCATATTGTTGTATTTTCGGTCATTATACTAACAAATTTATTATAAAAAACCATATTTAAACGTACAGGAAATCAATAAACCACCCAATATTTTATACTACAAATGTTGATAAATTTACATGGTCCGATACCGCAACATCCAAGATGAAATGCAGAAGTCTGAAGCATTGAACTTCTCTACTACGACGAGAATTGTCTAATTCCATAATTAATAAAACAACATAATGAAACATCTTAAAAATGGAATTAAAAAAATCAATTTGGTATTGAACAATGAAATTGGCTTGTAGTCATTATGTTTGTGATCTCTTGACATGATCCTGATAGAATGGGTCAGTCAGGTATCGACCAAGTGATAAGCGCACGCACATGGCCAAGATTTGGATTCCTTTTCTAAGGAACTAGACTTACAACAAAGGCTAGATATGTAGCTTTGATTTTAAAAAGGCAAATATATATATATATATATATATATATATATATATATATATATATATATATATATATATATATATATATATATATATATATATATATGAGTGTAAATGTATCTCTCGGTTCGCTTTAGCCAATAGAGATTCCTCCTCATCTTAGGTCTTGACATTCAAGTAGCCGATTAGACTTTTATATTGGCAGCTTGCATATTCGTATCGAAATCCAACAACTCAGGACATAGCTGATTTGTATGCACTAAATAAACTGATAGTTTATGGTAGTATTAATGTTTAGTTAAGTAAATACCCAAAAATGTACATTCTCTAAACAAAATCAATTACTTAATATAAACTTTCTTTAATGAATTAAATCATAAGAAATACAAATAAGATTGTTCTATAAAACTATTCATAGATGTAAATGATTATTAACAATAAATCCTAAGAAATAATCGTACTAGAATGTTTTTCTCCACTAATTTTAGTAATCAAATAATTATAAAAGTATATTTCAATGGTTGAAATGATGAGTCAGTTGAAGCTAGACCACCATGGGAAACCTGGAAGCACTGGACGGCCGTTTCGTTTTATTGTGGTACTCCTCAGCAGTGCACATCCACGACCTCGCCCTTGCGAGATTCGGACCCAGGACCTTCTGGTTTCGCGCGCGATCACTTAACTACTAGACCACTGAGTCGGCATCCAACGGTGTCCACGAAATTGAGCGACACATCCACCATTCCAAAGTATATTTCAAATTTTTCTTATGATTTAATTAAATTTAATCTAGTTCAATCAATTTAAATAATTTTGGTCGAAAACATCTTCATGTATGAAGATGTGATAGAACTATGATTATATTAAAACTAAACACGTTAATCATGTTTTTAATTCAAGACACATATGACAGTGTAATTGTCTTTTTTATTTCTGCTTTTTCAAATCATCTATGTTTAGTATTATAGAATGACAACAATTGAATGTGTTTAATATAAGTCTGATTAAAACGTGATAAAGTTTACATTTCTTAGAAAATTGATTTTACATCATCTTAAATACCATGAGTTAGATACGCTTATGATCTTAATGATGAGAATAACAAACAATATTATTGTTAACATTGTTAACTAATCGATTAAATTTTGTTGTACATAAAACTTTATAATAAATAGAAAAAAAATATTACTAATTTAAGGATGAAAAAATCAGTTGTCAAGATTAATTTCTTGATATATTAGTATGGTTTTGTTATAACACTTGAGGTTCTTTTTTGCACAAATGGGACATTAATTTACCTTAGATGAATAACTACATAAAATTTCTTCCCAGTGTCTATTCTACAGAATTTCAACACAACTCAGATCAAGAACATATGGTTAACCTGATTAGAATGTAAATATATTTCCACACCAAAAACCGACAATAATTCAACAGTGATTAAGAATCAGTCAACAGTAATAATAAGGACAGGAGAATATATAACTCAACTAACATTTTGCAGATTGAAATCATGAGTCAATTGAAGCTAGACCACCATGGAAAACCTGGAAGCACTGGACGGCCATTTCGTCCTAGTATGGAACTCCTCAGCAGTGCGAGTCCACGATCCCGCCGCCCGTGAGATTCGAACTCAGGACCTATAAGTTTCGTGCCAGGAGCTTAACCAACTAGACCACTGAGCCGGCATCCAATGGTGTTAATGTCTAACTTCAACCAATCCATCTAACTTTTGTCAGACTATTTCCACATCTGACTAAACAAACAACCAATCATCATCATTCTTGTCCACATATCAGATTTGAACTTTTATTTTATACACATCATAGGGTATGAGATTTTGGGATAATAGATTCCATTTCAATGGTCAAAACAAGTTTATGATTTCTTTCATAGTCTAATGGTTGATAAAGATTATTATTATTATTTTCCTTCACCTCAAATTATGTCTTCTTTTTATTATTTGAGTATTTGAACTTTGAATTTTCATATACTTTATTCTTTTAATATTCTATAACTCACATAGATTGATACTTGTTTTTACCATGATTTTATTTGAGCTTTGACTTATATGAAAAATGATGGATTACTTGTTCCTTTATCATGTTGTTTTTATTTTTTTTAAACACTGCCTCGGTTAATATGTAGTGTCGGTTATTATGTTAAGCCCATATACCTTATTCTAGCTTTCGGACAGCCCATTATATTCATTCTACTTGAGTCACATTCTGACCATGTTATTTATTCGCTTATCAATCTTGACTGTTGTTATATGAGCGCGTAGGTGTGTGTACATTTCTTATCCCATTACTCATCGATGTCTGTAACTTACATTTGTGTAACAATAAATATTGATTAACGCTTGGTTAAATGGGAGTTGGCTTACCAGCCATCTCCACTGCGCGTCGTTTTGCTTTCTTCGATTCCATTCGCTTCATATACAAAATATATGTATTCGAAAGTTCATTCTCGTTATTCGACTTATTTAATTCCGTTATTGACTAACGCGATTAAAGTCGATGACTATACACGAGGATAGGCGACATATATTTTTCAACAACATTCATCATTACAATCTCATTGGAGTCAGATCTCGGGACACTAAAGTGGAGAGCCCATCAACAAACATCGTCCGATCTAAAGAGGGCAAAATTACGGGCCCCACTAAAAATACCACATTTGTTATTATAAAATTTATTTTTATGTAATAGTCAGACAATCTACATTATAGTTAATATACATTTACAAAGTATGAGAATAAACTAACTGAACAACGTATATAAGTGAATATAACTTTTGCTTTAGGGAAATTCTTATCTTTCAGATGTGGATTGTTTAATTTTGAATTACAAAGGATAAAATATTTTGAGTACAATTTAAACCTACGATCATTACCAAGGTTTGATTTGATAATTTCGAATAAATTGAGCATTGGGTAAATTGTTATAAATTAATAATATATTTGTAATATCCCACTGAGTAGAAAAATTTGATTTTCTGACATTTCATAACCGATCTGGTTATCTATTCTCTGAAGAAGAGGCTTACACTAAGTCACAGAACGTCAGAAAATGTAACTTCCCTACTCATTTGGATATTACAAATATATTTTTCATTTATAAACGTACAATAGATTATGTAATTGTAAAGTGAATGGGTGATTGCATTTAAATTTGATGTTCGTTAAAACCATTCCATAGAAAATTGTAGCATCCTAAGATCGTATATTTTATCGACTATTAAGTAAGTATTGTTCAATATTGAAATCAAAGATTATTATTACTTCATTATCTGAAGTATGATTATATTTACTTATCTGATTATGAAAAATAGGTAATTTACAGAATGTTATAAGCAAATAAACTTGATATAAATCGTTATGCAATCACTGTTGTGTTTATAAAATATGAAATCTATGTAACACTTGAAAAGAACAATGATAATAAATTTACAGACATTGCATATTAAATGTCTTTGTAATTATCAGAAAATAAGGATACCCATTCAGTCTCATTTTCATAGGGTTAACACTATAGGATAATTAGTTTTAGATAACATTGATGTCGTATGACTTTTTTTTTAGTAACTAACGCATTTCAGAATAAGTAACATCACCTCATCTTCAAATGGTTTTTGTTTATACACAATGATCGAAATAGGTCAAATTTCCAAGTCAGTATAACACTGATCAATGATTGGCTGTCACTGACGTCACTTGAGAAAAGCCATTCAAGGTCAAAATGATTTTCTAATTGGGTTGTGATAATAAATTATAATCAATGCCATATCCTTTATGTTTTTCAAAATCATTACGACTTTATTCCACATATATTTCTGTCTCACGTTTGATTGGACATTTTCTGTAACCTTGATGTAAAATCTTGTCATTGATTTGACTTCATAAATAACCAATAAAAGTTCTGGATTTCACCATAGAAAGAAAAAAAAACAAGTTGAAAATCAGTTGTGTTCAAATATAGAGATCAACAATTGGAAGTAATTTGTAACATCTTTCAAGGTAATCTATCAACTGTTTGTTACAGAAATATCTTCATAAGTAAGTATTTTAAAGATTGCTTAGATTTGAACTGGTAAAATTTCTTAGTTATGGAAATACCCCATATAACTTACCTAACCGTTATGTGTTAAAAAATAAATAAGGCTAATTAATCCAAGCGAAATTCTCACGGATAGAAACGATTTTGCCGTATACTAAGAAAGGGCTTTATTTTCTGTTACATCATTGTATAATAACCATTTTTATGCTGTATAGGTCTCAATATTGATTAAAGTATATTAAAACCATTTGATACAGTGGTATCAGTCTGAGATGTTATTTATCAGTTCATCACGCGATGATTTCTATTGAAGCTAAATTATGCAAACCAACTAGTCACTAGCTAATAAAATTTGTATCGTCTCAGTTTTCAGTTGTGAGTGCACCCGATAAATCAAGGAATGTAACTCTGAGAATAATATAAGTGATTGAAAATCGTGTCAACTGAATGTCAGTACTATTAAATGCAATATAATTATTAATAGTGTGTATTGATAATTATACTGACAGAGTACGTAGTCAAATGTTTCAACTGTTCATATTAAACTGTGGTGGTTCAAAGCTTCCATGTCAGCATAGTATGAAGTTCTTCACTTCAAACAATAATAAAATCTACAATAACCTAGAAATACTCAATATGAATTTATTTAGAAATGTGAATGAATATGTGCAACAATACGAAGTTAATAGTAGCAAAAAATACTGAGTAAAGGACGATAAGCAATATTGTTATTATGGAAGAGATACTCTAACTAGGCTTTAAATCACTCGAAAAACCCATCATCATACAGATATGTACAATTTATTTTCGTATATGTAGAATCACGGTCTTCAATTCAGTATGTATCACGTTATTTACTAACCCTAACCAAATTTTAAAGAAAAATCATAAAAGTATTCTGGTCTCAGTTGGCAATTCTCTCAAAAATAAAAAAATTCAAGTCAAATATTTTGATCCTGACAAATCCATAATGAGAAGTTTATACTAAAAACAGCATAATGTCCTAACTCATTCTTCTAAATACAATTTGTGACTTAGCACAGGGGTTTCGTCAGAGAATGGATGACTTTCTGCTAATAAATATATGTCTGAACAGAAAAAGTGAACAAACCAGATCAAATAGAAAATATATATACGTGATCTAAGTATTCCATCGTGATGTCGATCAGATGCTAGGTAATGATATCTAAATCATGATTTTTGCTTATATTTACGATGCAGTGGAGTGATTCAATTTGTACGTGTATTTATAGCAGGCTGTTGTAGGATGCCAGGATTATTGTATTAGTCATTGTACTAATTATTTTATTAGTTTGTTATCATAAGAGAGGTGCATGAAAGTCTTGGACGAAGGATGACTTTTCGCCTCACATTTGTACAGCTTATACTAGATAATATTATGTCTTAATTAGAACTTGTCTTTGTTCGCTGCTATAAATTGATGGTAATTACACGATCACAATGTAAACTCAACTGTTATAGTGGATGAATATTATATATATGGTTATCAAACCGATTATCTGATTGAGTTTTTATAATAGAGTAATGGTTATGCATAAAAAGAAAATAACCAACAAAAGACTGTCGAATGAATAGATATTAAAAAGAAAATAACCAGCTATCAGAAACTTATTCTTACTTCTTAAATAGCACATTCGTATAGAAAATATAGAAAAGTCAGTCAGTCAGTCAGTCAGTAACAACGTAGAACTTCGTACGTACGTACATCATTTCGAGTTGCCACACCACATTAGTACAGAGATGCAGTTGTCGATTCAAATCCCATAGTGGTAGAGGTAATAAGAGTATAAGCAGTAGTCGGGAAGATTAGGGTTTGGAGATGTTATTTAAAGAGTATAATCCAGTGAAATAAATTTGGAAAGAGGAAAAAAGGGACATGAAGAATTCAGAAGATTAGAATTTGAGAGAACACAGAGAGTGGATGCACCTGCACCATTGCAAACGATTTTGAGCCATGTCATTCAGGGTCTCTAACCATCGGTTGCTATCATCTCGCGGTCCCCAACCAGGTAGTCTACACCTACCAACATGACTCAGTCCACTTGTCAGTGACTTCATGGACTTGTGCCATGTTTTGGTTTGGCCGCCCCTAGCTTTCTTCCAACCTACTCCTATACCACTGAACATAGCATGTCGAGACAGTCGGTCGTTGGGCATACGTAACACGTGTCCCAGCCATCTCAACTGATGAAGTTTCACTACTTCATCAATTGATTTGCCATCCTTACCTAGTACCCGTTTCCTAACAACTGTGTTACTTACTCGATGGTCCCATGATATACGAGCAATGTTTCGAAGACACCTATGATCAAATACTAGTAGCCTACGGATATCCTCTATTCTTACCGGCCATGTTTCACTGCCATAAAGTAGGACGGAACGAACTGCTGCGCAGTAAACACGTCCTTTGGTTGATAGACGGATATCTCGCCTACGCCATAAATGACGCAAGTTGGCAAAAGCTAGTCGAGCCTTCTGTATCCGTGCTGAGATTTCGTCACACACCGAACCAAAAGGGCTGATGAGACGTCCAAGATAAGTGAAGCGGTCGACACACTCAAATACTTCACTCCCTATCACTAGTTCGGGTGTCGATGTAACCCAATCCTGAAGCAACATTTTGCATTTCGAGGGAGAGAATCGCATCCCGAACATGCTTGCATTGTTGCTTAGAGTGGTCAGAAGACTGCATTTTGTCAGCGTCTTCACCAAATAAAACCATGTCATCTGCATATTCTAAGTCAACAAGTGAACCTCCCGGTAGAAGTTCAACCCCTGGAAATTTAGACGAGGAAAGTGTTATCTCTAAAAGTACGTCGACCACAAAGTTGAACAAGAATGGGGAGAGTGGACAGCCCTGACGAACACCACTTGAGGTAATCAATTCTGATGACAGTTCGCCATAAGCTCTCATTCTACCAGTTGTGTTCGAGTAGAGAGCCTTTATAAGGTTAATGTACTTCTTTGGTACTCCTTTCAGTGACAAACACTGCCATAGAACCTCACGATCAACAGAGTCGAATGCCGCCTTAAGGTCGAGAAATACTACGATTGTGGGGCGTCTGAATGTGTGTCTGTGTTCTAGAACCTGACATAGTGTGAATATCTGGTCTATACAACCACGTCCAGGTCGAAAACCAGCCTGATTTTCTCTAGTCTGCTCTTCACGAGCTTTAGTTAGGCGTCGAAGTATTATTGAAGCTAATATTTTAGACACTATATTAGTCAAACTGATTCCTCTGTAATTGTCACAAGAGGACTTTTGTCCTTTCTTATAGACTGGCACAATCAGTGATTGAGACCAGTCAGATGGGATTACGTCCAGTTCCCAAATTCTACCTAAGACCTCGGTTAATCTCATTGCTAATACTGGACCAGCATCCTTAAAAATCTCAGGAGTAAACCTGTCAGGGCCTGTTGCTCTCCCTCGTTCCAGATTTCTTATGGCTTTTTCAACTTCGTAAAGGGACGGAGGACCTACATTAACTTGCCATTCAGGTTGACTAGAGATCGTGGGAAACCGAAGTGTGGCTGAAGGCCAGTTGAACTGATCCCTAAAGTGTTCTGCCCATCGATCCAATCTCCTGGATTGAGAATGAATAATATGTCCATCTTTCTCTGAGATTGTTTCGCTAACGGTGGGGTTCCTAATTCCGGTTTCATTAACGAGTCTGAACAATTGTCTGCTATTACCTATTGCCGCTGCCTTTTCCATCTCTCTTGCTTTCGCCACCCACCACTGTTCGCGATCATCGCGTAGGCTTCTTGTCAGCTTGCGCTTAAGCTGACTCCGCTTTTCATTATGTTCAGAGCCAGGTGGAATGAGTTTCCGAGCATCTATCAGTGAGATAGATGCTGCTGAGATCTAGTGTTGCTCCCTAACCTTCTGGTTTACCTTACTAGCAGATATCACTGCTGTTTCCACAGCTTTTCGGATATCATTCCATGCTGCCTCGGGGTGGGTATCACATACATGGCTGCCTAACTGTTTTCCTAGTTGTTCTTGAAATATACTCTTAGCTTGACTATCATTAAGTAGGCCCCTAAGAGGTTTCCTTGCAGCGTCTTTCGTACGTCCAGTAAGACGCAAGCAAATACGCGCTTGCACTAGAGCATGATCTGAATCTAGGCATGTGCTCCAGAATGAGCGACAGTCTTCTATCGAGCCCCTCCATCGGTGGCTGATAGCGATGTGATCTATTTGGGTCCAACGTTGGGACGAATTAGGGGGTCTCCATGTTAAAAGATGTTTTTCCTTATGTTTAAAGTTAGTATTTGCAAGGAACAGGCGGATATATGAGCATAGCTGCAACAGACGGTCGCCATTATCTGTTCTTTGAGCCACGACACCATAAGATCCACCTAGGTGTCTTTCCCTATCGCTTAGTTTACCTACTTGAGCATTAATGTCACCGGCCACTATTACTACATCCGAGCGCTTGGCTTTTCGGAGAAGGTCCGGAAGCTTTCCGTAAAACTCACCTTTTACATCATCTGAGCTGCAGTCAGTGGGAGAATAGGCATAGACGACGAAGAGGCAACGACGAGTGTCCCTATCTTTCCGTATTCTTACTGTTCCGTTCAGTCGGACAGCGCACAAACGACTGTCTACTGGGATCCACTCTAAGAGAGCTAGTTCTGCCCTAGGACTCAATGCTATACCTACGCCGGCGAGGCCACGGGAAGCAGAATCAGGGCTTCCAGATACACGAAGCGTAAATCGAGTCGGTTCTTTATTTTGGCATGGTGAGGTCAAATGAATGACGCTACTTGGATCCTGTATGCGCGTTTCGGAGACGCAGCACACATCGATGGCGCGAGATTCTAAAGTCCTAGCTAAGGAAGCCTGCTGTCCTATTTGGCAAAGTGTTCGTACGTTAAAAGCTCCTACGTGTAGTTTAGAGCGTGGTTTCAGGAGACCAGGAATGGCGTTCCACGTACTCGAATCGTTTGCCCTAGCGGTGCGAGGTGATAAAGAGACGTGAGGAGGGTTAGTCATGGAGATAAGAGAGGTATTAGGAGGTGTAGGAAGGATTTAAATGTGACCAACTTGGTCTCGTGTGCTGTTACGGGTATGAGGGCTGATGTCACTTCCCGGCTGCCCACACCGTGGAAGGGTATTTCTTGAGGAACCTGAAAAGGAAATTGGATTAGTGTTGGTCTTGACGACCTGGGAGCGTAACCGCAGAGCCCAAGGGACAACTGCTTGAGGCCGGTCGCGCACGACCTTTTTGTGGAAGGTTTTTGACGTGTTAGCTCCGTTCTTCAAAGGGCCTTACCGCCGGAGACGGAAATCCGTGAGGTAAGGTGAGGTGTGACATTTTTAGGGTCAACCTTTTCTAACCCCACCCCTCCTTGTGGGAAGGCAGCATCGCTGTCATGCTGGATGTCCGAGGGAAACACCTTACTGCTGTCACACCCCTCTACATTCAGCAGTACGACTTCGCCCACAGACCTTGAGTTGCTGCTTTTAGTCTTACCGTTCACCAATCGACCTGCCTGGCATGGTAGAACCTGCAGGAACATATGTTCCAGCCAATATAGCTCGGTTGGGTCATCAGGATAGGCAAGCCCGACCACCGCGTCAAGGTAGCAGCTTCGATCGGGAAATATAGAAAAATTTACCATGATTAAAAGTTAAACACAGAATGTCCATAGACATGTAATCATATCCACATATAACTGAACATCTGATGATTTTGAGTTAGTTATCTATAAGTAATGACCAGTTTTGTCTGTGTACGCACAAATGACTTGATCTAATTGAATTTTGTTTTAAGATGACTAGATTAACTAAACACAAGTTGCAGTTAGTTGCTCTTTTAATCAACTCTACAGTTTTTTCCTGAGCTTATTATTTCTAAACTCCAGCTCCCCGTAAGGTCTTTCAATCCCTATTTCTTACACATCTTTTGTTGTCCTATAAATTAGAAAACCGACTCAGAAAGTTAGTTTTTGGTGTGGCCCTTCGTTTTAATGCCAAATTAAATCGGAAGATGATGCTATCGACAGTCTCACCATTTTTACTGGCTCGATATCTGATTCCTTTTAAACAGTATTATGATCGTTATTGAAATATACATGACACCAATCCTCGTATAAAATTATCGACTTAAATCGCCTTAGTGAATAACGGAATCAGATAAGTGAAATACGAAAATGTATTACGAATACGTATATTTCATATAATCGTTGATCTAGACAGATGATCAGAGAAACGAAGCGAAGAACAGAGCGAGGCGAAACGGATTGGAGAAAACAACTCGATTTAACCAAGCCTGACTTGACACTTATAGTCAGACAAAAAATAGAACGCAGAAATGTGGTGAGTAGGGTAAGGGATTAACACACATGCTCATATAAAAAGTCAGGTTTGATAAGTGAATAAGTGACAAGGTCAGAATGTAGCATGAGTATAATGGGTAAACTGATCTGTTTGGAAGCTAGAATAACTCATGTTGATTTGACATGGTACTAGACACTAAAAGTTGATAAGGTATTTTATTATTTTGTACCGTTTTGGTTTTTCTCGCTTTTGGAATGTGAAAGCCTTCAGAAACGCTGCAAAACTTGTAAAAATTGCCTACTTATCTAATGTTTCCTTGAAACCGAGTAGTTACAAATATCAGGTTAAACTTTTTCTTACTATTCATTTACTTATAGTTCCAGTCATTTAATCTGACACCAAATAAATCACGGTTTCACTGCTAATGATGTTTCCTATCCAGGTCTCCTTAAGAGCAAACACATTGAACAATATATTTAACATAATTCCTATCAAATCATATAACTTTATATATATATATATATATATATATATATATATATATATATATATATATATATATATATATATATATATATATATATATATATATAGTTTAAAATGTAAATCCTCTTTTGTAAATTTCAATAAAGCTATTCATTATTCGGTGGTTTATTATAACTTCATCGTGTAATTTAATCCTACTGTTTCTTACTTTGTATTTGCAACTACTGAATTTTATGGTACTGTGTTTTAATACTTTTCGCATAATTTTCCAGTAATCTAAAATTCAAAACTCCTAGTCTAGTTTAATTTTCTGTATTCGACTTTCAGCTGTATTTCATGTGGGGGCTTGTATATTAACTAGCCACCTAAATTGGAATAAAGAAAGGAGTTGAAATCTGTGAAACACATACTGAAAGCAGAATACTTTAGTCACTAGGCCTCTGATCTTCATTCTAAGTGTTTACTTTAAAATGACGATAAATTGGAAGCTGAACTGCGTCAATGATAAATGTATCGAATTGTTTGAAGTAGTTTCATATTAAGAACTTTAAACATAACTACGAGAATGTTCTTTTCTTTCTTAGTGTATATCTATTAATCTGTTTTTCATATCTACCAATATGCCCGCAAATGCCCTGGTACGGCCGAGAGTGGGGAGAGTCCGCTCTCCCTATCGAAATACTCTCACATGGCCGCGCGTATATAGCCTCTGCCAGAGAAGTCCTACTCACTGCCTTCTCGTGGCGGGGGTGTTGTTTACGAAAATGAGAGGACGAAAAGCGAATGTCCGGCGCTTTAACCGGATTCCAAACCAATGGTGCACATGGGCTCCAGCATCCTGCGAGAACAAATGGCGTACGAACCAATTGTTGGTCACCGGCTTCCATGGGACTGCATCTCCTTACGATGCTCCACTGCCTTGTGTATCAGACCTTCAGGTCGAAGGCTCGGGGAGTGGCCCCCTAAGGAAACCACCTGCTTCGGTTTGGGCACCCGGGCAGTATTACAGCCCTCACACATATCGAATGATATGTGTGGCGCATTTGTATTTGGTGCCTCCTTGTACCAATATCTATGTGTTAAAATAATAATAATAATCTACCAATATCAGATATATAGGTAAGCTAATTATATAAATATATAAGATGATGATAATACGTAAGTTTGAGTCGTAGAATAACTCTCAAGGTCACGTGCTAGACAACTGTACTTGTAGAAATGAAACTCATAGTTCACATAACTGAACTGCAATATTATATACGCTGAGTTAATAATCATTTATTTACATAAGAACCATAATTGATGTGAATTTAATATTTCATAATGGTATAAACTCTGTATATTTTAGAAATCGAAATATGGAACAAGGTTTACGATTCTGTTGGTATTTACTTCCGACTTTATTGGCGTGGATAGTAAAATATGCAATTCGTCTAATTTTATTACCGATTTTCATCGTATTTATTCTTGGTTATGTTGTGAAATATTTCAAGAAAAAGTCTAAATTGCGCATTAAATTATTACGTAAAAGACAATCAATAACTCAAGGAATGAATCATCTGAAAGAACATCTTTCATCCACGAAAAGCTCATCAAATATTGATTTACTATCAGTTACAGATCTGAATTTAGATACTATCCAAGAACGTTTAGTTGAAGGCAAATTTACATCAGTTGAATTATTACATGCCTATCAAATTAAAGCTTTACAATTATATGACTCAGGAAATTCAGGAATATGTGAATTTCTTGATGAAGCGGAGCAGTTGGCTGTTGACGTTGCTAAATTTAATCGCTTACCTAAAAGTAAACAAACGTTGGTTGGTATTCCTATCAGTTTAAAAGAATTATGTTCGACCAAGGGATATGATGTAACATTTGGTTTGATAGAACGATGTAATAAACCCTCACATGAAGATTGTTGCATATTGGAAGTACTTAGACATGAAGGAGCAATACCTTTTGTTCTGACAGCAACTTCTCAAACAGCTCTATCTCTGAGTGGAATAAATCCAGTATTTGGTGATATGTCTAATCCTCATTCATCAGAACATGAAACAGGCGGGAGTTCTAGCGGTGAAGGTGTACTTCTAAGTTTACGGGGATCTCCAGTTGGAATCGGAACAGATTTGGCTGGAAGTATACGAATTCCTTCGGTGTTCTGCGGTCTTGTTGGCTTAAAACCAACAACTAACCGTATTAGTAGTAAAGGTGTGGGTGTGATCGGTCATAAAAAGTCAGTATTATTGAGAGTATGTGTTGGACCAATGGGTAGACGAGTGGATGATCTAGCTAAATTAATGCGTACACTTTTAACAACGAAAATGTTTCAAATGGATCCATATGTGCCACCATTACTGTTTAATGATATGATCTACGCGGGTACAGATAAGCCGAAATTGACAATCGGATATTATGCGACTCTAGAGGATCCACTAATTATTACTAGTGTTCCAAGTGTTCGCAGAATAGTGAATGAATCAGTGGACATTCTAAGACAACGCGGTCATATATTGTTACCGTTTCATCCACCTGACATAAAATGGGCTTATGAATTAAGTATGAAGGCGATTTCTGTTGACACTAAATATAATCTTCAAGAGGCTTTGTTTGCAGAACCACTAAATGAACACACCAAATTTCTCTACCTTTTAATTAGTCTCCCACACTGGCTGAAAGTTATGATAGATAAATTATTGAATATTATCTTTGGTAGACCAGCTGCGGTTACAAGTTTCTTGGACGGTCCTAGGGGCGAAGCAAAAACATTAAATTTAATCTCAGATATTGAGTTGTATAGACATAAATTTCAAAGAGCTATGGAAGAAGCCTGTAATTTGGATGCAATCATTTGTCCAGTTTTCCCCTTCCCAGCATTTCCAAAGTCGGCTAAATCGATGTTTGTTACGCCAGCTATTGCTTATACAGTATTGTTTAACTTGTTAGATTATCCAGCTGGAACAGTCCCAATGGGATATGTGAGTAAGGAAGATGTACAAAACTCAAAAGTGATGGCTGAAGAATACGAGAAAGTCGGCAATCGATTTCTTTCTGAGGTATTCAAGTACCAGGAAACAAGTGAAGGCTTACCGGTCGGTGTACAAATTGTTGGTAAACCATGGCAAGAAGAGCGTGTGCTATATGTTATGAAAGAACTGGAGACATCAAGAACACAGAATAATTAGAACCGTTATTCTAAACCTTATTTCTTCAGTTGACTTAGCTTGACCATATATTATCGCGTTACTGTAAAATATTCATTACCGTTTAATCTACACAGAAGTATAATATTTTAATATGAAAAAAACTGAATTCGGCTTTCGAATTTTGAAATCTACCTACTTCTTTCATCGAAACATAAAAATTTCTAGATATTGTTTCATTTTTGTTCATGCAGTATTTTACACATATTCGTTGGAACAGTAGGAAATATTAATTGAAATCGAAATGTGAATTGATTATTAACTAAAAAATAGCAAATTATGTGCGATTTTCATTTCTTTTAAGTACTAGTTAGTTACAGTAATTACTAAGCAGAGAATCATACTCAGTATTCTTTATTACACTAATGTGATTTGAACTAGGAATCCTATAACTTTAATCTTATCTCCTTCAATATATTCTTGTTTATCATAATACTTGTGTCACATCTTGCTTTCAATTGTTCAAATCATTCCTAGAAGCCCTCATTTCAACTGCATCTTTTTGGTTAGTGAGTGTTTCAATTATTGTGTTATATGAAAGTGCTATATATGTATAATATCCAATCCACTGATGGTGATCTACCTTGGTGACAAAAATATAGGCCCGATTTTCGATAAAAATAAGTTGTTTTGAGCAACAGCCGGACGTATATGTATATTAATATAATTTTTTTAGTAGCGAAAGAAGATAAGTAAAGGAATCTAATCTAGCTAGAACTGGGAATTAAAGATGGCTAATTTGCGTTATAACTCAATGGCTAATTTGACTCATCTGTATTTTATTGTCAACAATATTGGTTAAGTAAAGTGATCACAGTTTTCATGCTCATCATTCAGTTTTCAAAGAACGTCAAGTGTCTGACATGATATTCTAAAGCCGTAATAGATCGTGTTTTTAAGAAAACAAGAATATATGGAGTCACATAATGTTAAGCTCTCATTCGTTCATAGCCAAAAGGTGTTTCATGGAAGTTTACTAGGTGACACCTTGTTTTAAATATTTGACACTCACAAGAAATTTACACCCGATATAGTAAACGTTATTTCGCTTAACCTAAATCTTGATGAATATTAGTCATGATCGTATTTTCATTGGTTAAAGAAATTTGCAAACAAGAGGCTAAAACTTCGAATGCAGTATTTGAATATTGACATAACGTTGAGGAACGATTACTAAATAATTCAAGAAAATATTTAAAATGTAACGAGGTAGAGTTTGGTGGTGAGACTATAGTTTATGGACGACCTTTGAGCGATGCTTAAGTGACCTTGAGAGTGTAAAACAACTCACTATGGTTAAATGGGTGCTATAAATTAGTTTGAGGAATTAGGTTAAGGATTTACAGTCGGATTTTAGGATTATTAATAAAAGTTAGGGTTTTCATCACGAATTGACATCGGCTGAAATCCGAAAATGCTATTTAGCCATTTTGGTTAGTGTTTTTTTAGCGAGTTAGTTTTTTACGGGATGGGATCCCTAACCCCATGCCCAGCCCTCCTCCTTTATCCGGGCTTGGGACCGGCAGTAGCCCCCAGAGGGACTCCAGGAGGAGTTATTTAGCTATTTTGGATAAGTGAATTTCACGCCAAAATCCAAGACGTGTTATTTTAAATCTAGTTCTTCTATATATCGTAGTCTCGTAGATTTTGTGTATTTGTAGGATCTATTTTGAACAATATAATTGCATACTCTTATATCAATTGACTTTGAATGAAAACTAAATGGGGTTAGCTAAATAAATATTTGAATGAATGGTAAAAAATTAATAAATGAAAACTTAAGAAGACAGTGGCACAATATGGAGGGAATGAGAAGTTCTTGGGTCACCTATGGAATGGAAAATAAACAACTACCAGAGCGAGATCAAAGTTAAAATAAACCTTTTTGGTTATGTTTTGTTTCATAAGGATTTAGATACCTTGTTACTCATTTTACTGGTTTATATGTATGTGAACAGCACACAGATATTGCTTGTCTTAATGCGTGATATTGGGTCTATGGATTTTTAATATTACATGTATTATATATGAAGTTTAGAATCATTGTTCGTCCAAGTGTTAGACTCGTCTTTCTCAGTACCGTCCATTTTAAGGAATTGTTAGAGAATGAAGGTTATTTTCTAGTCGAGTTTTCTACTATCATTTTAATTAACTTTCAACAGCGTGAACGGATAAAACATTTTCTGCATGATCGGTTTTATCCATAACAGCGATGCTTAAATCTTTATCATATGGGAGAATAGCGAAAATAACCTGGATACTAAACACTGTTATGACTTGATTTGGAACTATGGTTGATATTGTTAGCAAGGTTCCAGTTGGAGCTGAAAAACATAGGATAAGGGAGTCTATCGTTGATTGGATAAAGAATCTGTTTTAAATCTTTGTGCAAGCTGCTTTATTTTTACGTAAAACATAGGCTGGTTATTCATAGGTGCACTACAAATTACTCTGAATCGAAGCAAACTAACAAGCGTCATCAAATCTCCAAAACAACTTTGCCCCGATGATATTAGAAAAATGGAGAAGTACAATGTTGAGCGGGTATATGTAGGAGCATTATTCTACAGGTGTTTGAATACTTGGTATCATGAAGAATGCGTACTTTTTTTAGTCTATCAGATGAATGATAATGCACTTCCTTCTTGCTCTTAATGATACACTGTTTTGATAGTGTAGTTATTCTTACCAGTTTTGTAAGTTATGTAAAATATACTTTCCAATAAACCTTCGTGTACTTATTTTATATTAACAGACTGTAGATATACTAGTAGTATCTGGGTTATTGAGTGTTGTTAAGTACTACTGAATGACACCATTTTGGAGTCACATCAAATCAATACATTTTAAACTGTCAACAATTTATAAAACTAGTCTAAAGTTCACTTCTTGCAACTATTCTCTTCTTTTTTTATTTAAGAAGTTATCATAACTTAAAAATCAAAGAACATAACTCATTGTCACTCTGAAAATGCTTATCATCCATTCTTTTACTTTCTTTTGTTTCATTTGATTGGCCTACCTGACTTAAAAGATAGTACGTTGAAGAAATCATATCTGATTACTTGTTTGAATTTTATTTGGCAAATACATCATATCTTTTTAGTTAATCTTGCTTTTCTCGTTATATTCTAATGATTTATAAATGGGATTAGTCTAAATTAAGGCTAATTGAATCATGGCCTCCACTTGTACCTGATGTTTTGTGTAAATTAAATTATATTACTTACCAATAATCAGTATGTATTGTAAACTTGCAATCATTTTAGTGAATAGGTGACAAAGTCTCTGTTAACCCGCAAGCAAATAAATTTTCAGTCATAACTAACCGTACCACAGATTACGGTAAACTAGACATGTACTCTAAAAAATCTTATACAAGGTATAATTATTTCTAAACAGAAAAAGCCTAGTGATAGAGATAATCTATTAGTTATTGATTCATCTGTTGTAAACAGTTTCAAAAGTCCAACTAAGATTATTTCAAAGGAAAATAGGAAGCTAAGTTAGATTTTTAACGAATAATAGTTGAAGTACTTAAAGTATAATCTTTGTCCGAAAGCAAATCTAGCTTAAACCATGTTGTTGATAAAGAACTACTTAAGTTAGAGAATGCCAATAATGCCCATGATGTTAAACTAAATTTTTAATTATCTGATGATAGTGTAACGATCGACAACTCGGGTACGGATAACTAATATATCGTCTTATGTAAAATTACACAGGGAGTTGGTAAAATGCTTAAATTATTTATCAAATACATCATTTACATATTTTCCTCCAGTTGTCTTTTACACTATCATTCTCTCAATCCTGTTTTTATTCTGATTGCTCTTCGTTTTTCTGTTTATTCTCTTTACTATACTTTCCTGCTGATGAGTATTCTACTTCCAATTCCTGCTATATACTGCCTATGTCTGTCCGAATACGTAGTACACATCACAATTGTAATTTTAAACCTCCAACTGAATTCGACTCAGAAATAGAAGCAGATCAAACTGATATTCATTGATAAAGTCTCGTCGAATTACATGTACCTTTGTCTCCTGAATATGGAGCTCTTATAGAATGTTTTAGTAGATAACCTTTGATTAATTTTTAAACATTAGGTCAACATCGAGTAAAGGGCAAGAATGTAGTGTAATTGAGTTGTTTAATGAGAAAGCTAATTTTAGCATTATTGTTTCGCCCATCGGAGCTGATGAGCCAGTAATTGGCGTTGCGAAGTCACATCTTACTAAAGAGGTAATGTTCCCGTTACATATATGCAATATTTCTGTTGAACTTTTATGTAGATATTTTAAATTATGACCTGGTATTAAAGATAAACGGATTCTGACCCTTATAGAAAAGGTAACGTTTTATGACGTTATAAGTTTACTTTCATGTATCAAATTCAAAACGTCTGAGATTCGCCAATGCTATGGCGGGCAAACGTCTAAAATCAGACCTGTGAGTTTGAAAAGAAACAGTAATAAATCTTCCTTTATCCTGGCAACATTACATGATTTATATTGCATAATTCATTGATCTAACACTTTCTCAAGTTTTGATTACATCACTGTCGTTTTCTCTAATTCATAATTTTCATCCGTATTGGCTGACTTCGATTCATGTCTTTCTTCATCACCATTAGTTTGCTTTCACTTACTTCATTACACAATCATCTAATGTTTGTTTGTTCTATGATGTTTATCTTTAATCACCTTAGTATTTATAAGTGACATTATCTATAATAATTTTGACTTTAAAGTACTATAGGTTGCAAGCAGCTGATGAGAATCCGGAGATAAGATAATAAAGGGAAATATGTGTATGAAACTTCTGTTATTGATAACCCGTAATTGACTCTATACATTTTTCATTTTCTGTATAATTTTATTTTCTAGATGATTGCTCACTTTTGAAGCATACTGAATTGACCCATCCTTTTTCTTTCGATAGGATATTGTTTCTTGACTGATAGAACCATTCTTCTAATCACTAACTATATTCTGAAGTACTTGATGATGCTTCTGACTATGTTAATTATGAAAGCACTAGGAACAACAAGATTCTATCACCCTCTTAAATGTGTTCATATATTTATTCATGACAGAAAAACGGCACAGAAGAAATTAAAAGTTCCCACAATATCGGTAAAGTTAAGTCAATGACTTGAAAGCAATAGAAACGAATGGATGTTACTCATTACGACATGAAACGTAATGTTCAGATGCATGTCAATTTTTACAAAATTTAGGGGAATATGGGTTGTGCTTTGATATGGTTGTTGCTACAGATGCTCGCGTTGGTAGGATAAGAATCAAAACTAGCTTTGAAATGTTACAGTTAACATACATAGAAAGCGTGCGTTATAGCACGCAATCTTCTCATGCATTTATTTTCTTTACCAGATTTTATTTAACACAGAACGTGGTTTAGAAACATTTAACGCTCTTTTCATACCGCGAAGTGAAGGATGGTAGGTTTATAGTACATAATGCATAATTATTATAATTGCATTATGTTCACATTAAGTTAACTTAAGTTTCAGGTTTTGTGTTTGCCAAAAATCATGGAATACTTCAGCTCCCATATGGGAATTAACTTGTAGTGACCTACTTTTATCAAGAGAACGC